GCGCCAGACTGTGTGGCTGGTATTTCATGAGAATAGGAAGGTGCATATGCGCAGTATTTTGTGCTGCGTATTTGTAAAGCTCAGCAGGCAACTTGGTGACCCCAGAAAGTTTGACTTCCTTAAGGCCCTAAAAACCCTCAGCCAAGTCAAACAAGGAAGATCTTCGAGAATCACAACAATCTTGTGGACCAAGGCTGGCCTGCACTTCAACCAGATCTGCAACTGAGCATTCAGCACCTTTTTTCAGGAGTGACAAAATGACGCTCAAGCGTAAACGGTTCCATTCGTTAACAACTGCCCGTCAATATGCAGCACAGGCGCACCTAGGTGGCCTATACTTGCGTCCACACTGCACATACGAGCGAACGTGTGCAGGCACGCCTAGCGGTCCTAGCGACTGTCCCCTGAGTGTCCCATGTTGCCCCTTGTCAACGTGTTCAAGCGCATTGCAAAGACCTCCACGGATTGCCTTGTCTATTCTTTTGGCGGCCGCGTCGTACAGTGCCACATTCCGCAAAAGCAGCCAAGCTGCGTGGAATTTTTCCAGGCCTCGGAATGGCGATCGCCTACACGTTACGCGCCAGACTGTGTGGCTGGTATTTTCATGAGAATAGGAAGGTGCATATGCGCAGTATTTTGTGCTGCGTATTTGTAAAGCTCAGCAGGCAACTTGGTGACCCCAGAAGGTTTGACTTCCTTAAGGCCCTAAAAACCCTCAGCCAAGTCAAGCAAGGAAGATCTTCGAGAATCAGGCAACAATCTTGTGGACCAAGGCTGGCCTGCACTTCAACCAGATCTGCAACTGAGCATTCAGCACCTTTTTTCAGGAATGACAAAATGACGCTCAAGCGCAAGCGGTTCCATTCGTTAACAACTGCGGCCTATACTTGCGTCCACACTTCATAAGTTCCCTGCAGGGCCATTGTAAGTTCACAAGGGCCCTGGTTGCGCGCCTCGCAAAGTGCACTCCGAGCATGCCGCGCAGCATGCTTGCGGTTGGCCACAGTGAGAGCATGGCTCGAACTTCGAATCATTTTGCCAAAGCACGCTGCGTTCAGGCATGATCTGCGGATGTGGCTGTAGCCCCGCTGTTCCCTCACGGTGTCTGGCACACTGTACCTTGGATGGTGTTGCCCACGTCCACGTCTCGAGGCCCCCAAAGAAGAGTTCTATGACAACATATGACAACCCTTTCTTTAAAATCTGTTAGGCAGGTCTTGTTAAGAAGGCGCCTGGCATGTTGCCGCAGCCTGATCATGTAAGGTTAGGGGTTCAGCCGTGCAGGGTTTAGGGGTTTAGGGTGTAGGTTGGTATACCAAGTTCATGCAGGATAAAAACCCAATTGTGTCACATAAGAATGAAAACACACTGTGTTCAGATTTCCCTTGACACACAGTTGGAGGTACGAACCTTCCAAGACGCTCAATTTTACATGGCTTCTGTGGTACAGATGACAAGACATTGCTACAGAATCGTGACCCATGCTAAACCCCAAACTTCCTGTTGAATAACAACTTTGACTACCCTCCTAGTCCTCCTACTACCCCTATACCCCTACCCTTACTCCTAACTACTCCTACCCTTACTCCAACTCGGACGCATCCTTCTCCTACGCCAACGCCTACGCCTATGCCTACACCTACGCCTACGCCTGCAGGATTTCGCTGAGTAGGGTGGCGGGGGTGATCGTAGTATCAAAAATTGCAAGTACAAACAGCAAGACATGCAAGGCATGTCTCCATGTGAATCCGATCGCAGGAACCGTGGTGAACAGATTGTGGTTCGTGTCTGTTCATTGAGGATAAAAGCAGACATTGGAAGACTTTCCGTAATCACCTGCAACAAAGATGTGTGAATCTCAGCCCGAACCTACAAGCCATCAAGAATGCTGTGAGCATTGAGCAAAAGGAAGCCAATAAGCATTTGCCTCATGTATCTTCGGTCCGAAACCTTCCAACAAATTGAATGGATGACGGGTGCCAAAGCCAAAGTGCCGTTTGTCGTGGCACAGTGCTGTCAGTTGAAGTTCATTTGGATTCTGCTTATCAGCCAACTATTTTGATTGGACGTTGCATCAAGCGTTTGAGGTGGCAGACCCACTCGAATTGGATTCACAATTCAGGCCTGGCTCATCCTGGCTCCTTGGCAGCTTCAGAATCCATGTCCCCTGTTGCCGAAAGCCTCAGGCAGACTTCTTGGAGGACCGAAAGTTGCTGACGCCTGTTGGTACTTTATGTGTGTAGCTTAGTCGATCCCGGCTGCGCCTGAATGACAGCTAGGTCTTAAACACATCAAAGGAGTGGAGCTAAGATGGCAAGTTGCTTCTCATTGTTTGACTGAAAGTCCCCTGCAGGACAGCAGGGGACAGCAATAACTGACAAAGTTTGGATTTGCGCGTTGTTGCGAGACTTACAAGCCAATGTCATGATCTCGCAAGCGGTGGGCATAGCTGGTCTTGGCAGCATGGGCTTGGAGAGAAATCGTTTGGTGGCAACGCGTGAAAGGTGCCACAACTCATGTAGGTTCAACGTGCACCAAAGAAGGGCCGACATCAGCCGGCATACCTGATACAAACTTGCTCCTTCGGCAGGTCGGAGCCATTCACACCTGTGCAGGCAGAGTTTTTTTCATGATTTCGTACCACATATTCTTTTCCCGCAGACGGCATTAGCAATTTTGTTTGATCAGCAACTGTGTTGAAGCCTGTCTTTGACGAGTGCAAATGCCACAAAACGGGTGCCAGGACCTGAGGCTTGTCGCAGTGCCGTTGCATGGGAATGTTGATGCACGAGTCACAGCGAGTCACAGCTTACATCTTCTTGACATGTCTCGACCTCGGTCCGTTGAAGGTTGCAGTCTACCGAGTTCTTTGGCCGGAAGTGAACGCAAGTTCTTGCGTGGGCGTTGTCCCTAGCTTCTTCAGAGCTTGTTGGTCACGGCGTGCCTGTTGCTGTCGGGACTGGAAAGGTAGCGCCATCCACGTTGAACAACGGGCCAATGGACTTCTGATTGAGTGGCTGGCATGAGGTTAACTTGGTTCTGTGACAGGCTGACCTGCAAGATTGCGAAAGTGTGTAGCCAGGCTGATATTATACACCCCGATGGGCTGGGTGAGCTCAAGCAGCAATTCTGCATCGTCGTGGTTGGCTCTGGTGTGGGGAGCCTTGTGCTGCCACCAGGAATTTTGCAGCACTCTGCATGCCTTCCATCTGAGACTGTGTCCATCGCCATGGGTTCGCGTTACCCTGGACCATTTCTTGCCCCAGCCAGTTGCCGAGAGACTGCCGGAAAATTTACCTCCAACAGCCAAATGGCAACTGGACGCATTATCTTCTAAGGCCGTGCCTGGTGCAGGCGCAAGATCGTGGAGTTTGGACTGGACTTAGCTCAGCTACATACCCTTAGGCCGTTTGGATGGAGCTGTCTGCGAGCGTTCAAGGCTGCTCAGATCAGTGTAACACCTTGTTTCTGTGTGTAGTTGCATGCATTTGACAGGATTCTGGTGAACGAAGGAGCAGACGTCACGGTGTCTTGTTGTGAGATTCGGCACCGCTTTGTGTGAGGGGGCTGAGAGCAGATGAGCTTCAGGTGACAGTTGCGGCTGATGATGCTTCTGAGTTGGTGCGACCCTTGCATGGCCCGCAGATGCCCGCAGTTCTCGTTGTTATCTATCCCCTGCCAGACACTTTCAGCGATGCTGATGACGGACACTCTGCAGGCAGGGCTGTGTACTGCTCTGTCACGTGCTGTCAACATCTCGCAGGAGTGGGGATGGAAATTTCACAGCCCTAGAAATATCATAATTGGTGAAGACCGCTTGGCAGAGAGGCTTCTCTTGCCAACCGCTGGAAAGGCGTGGTGCCGCCAGGCCCAGAGTCTTCAGCTTTGCTTCAGCTTTCGGCTGGGTCCGTTGCACGGCATAGGTGGGACTGGAGCAGCATTGCTCATCTCTAGTTGGGGCCCTTGAGCTGTGACTTCGATGGCTATGGAGTATGGACTCACCAAGCAGTTTTGCGTAGCTCCAGGCAGGGACGTTGCTGCTGCCCGTCAAGTGAAAAGCAAGGAGGACATTCTTGTTTTGATAAAGGGAAGCATGCAGCGACAGCCCTGCAGATCCCTGCAGGATTCAGTCTGGCTTTCGGTTTGCCGCTCGAATCTTAGCGATGCCTCGCAGGCCCGGCCGCACTCTGCAAGAAAGGTGATACCTGCCAATCGGCTCAACCAGGCAGCCATAAAAGGGTTCAGGATGAATCGCGAAGGGAGTGTGCAAGCCGAAGCTTGAGAAGAAGAAGCCTTACAAGAAGTCGTAGCTACACGATGTGGTGAGTGAGTAGTTGCAGCTGCCAGAAGTGGTGTAGCTGGGAGTTCGAAATAGTTTGAAGAAGATTCTCGGAAGGCAGGTCTTCATGTGAGAGTGGCATGAGCGGCGAGACAGGAGTCAAAACGGCAAGCGGCTTGCTCTTCCAAAGTTTGAGATCTGACTTGGGCTCGTGGACTACTCAAGCGGTACTAACGTACGGATGCCGAAGCCTAGCGTGCTTTTCTCAGGTATGGAAGTAAGAGCAAGTTTTGTGCTTGCCACTCCGTTGCACGATGTTAGCAACAGAAAGAGCTTTGCATATATGGGCCCAGATCCTTACGGCAAATCGACAGTCTTTGCAGGGTTTGGCGCGAAGTTAGAAGAGCACAAAGGCAAAGCTTGCACAGTCGTGTGAGGCGACAGACTTCTGGATCACAGCAGTAACGGAGACGGGTGTGGTGACCTTGAAGGAGCTTCATGAGTTACATGGGAGACAGATGTCAATAGTAAGATGCGCGTGAGGACGGCGTTGCTGCTCAATCCTCAGTGCCTCCCAGCCAGTTTGCAGATGGCGCGTGGAAGGCGCGGCAGGTTTCTTCCATCTCACTCGCATGCTGCCATGTATGATGGCGGGCAGGCTATTTGGCGTGAATTCCGTGTTTTGGTTTCTGGCGGGCTACAGCCGAACGAGGTGCAACCCTAGGCAGCAAACCATGGCCAAGCTTGTTGAGTTCAGGTTTCGCTCTCCGCGAGCTCCATCGGCAAGGCCACAAACAGAATCTGTTCGACTCCTTGAAGACAGCTTCATGGTCTTGCACGCGAACTGTTTACGTACGTTTCCCTGATAACATCCCGTGCCCCCTTAACAAAGGCTGATGCCAATATTGTACAGCTTATATGATTATAGCATATTGTGACGGTTTGTAAAGTAAGCAGCTCGGTTGATTTGTTCTTTCTTCACGGACCGTGGCGCCATCTCCCCGCAAGTACATGTCACCAGGTTCCGCAACCAAAAGCCCAGCTCCAACACATGTGGCCAATTTGAAATGAGTTTTCGTGAAACTGTGCACGTTTTTCAGACTCCTACGCGTTTTGGTCTGTCAGGCCCGTGAGCAGATGTCGGCTGCATCGCTGTCTACGTGTAACGCCAGCATTTAAGCCGATGCCGAAAGCAGATTCGCAAATTACAGATCCCGGATTCGGACGCTGGGAATCCTCGATTTCGAAGCAGGCATCCTTCATGCTGACCAGTCGTGGAAGTGCTTCGTACCCTGGCAAACTCAACTCGCAGCGCATGTTAAAACCACTTGCTGAATAGTTCCTTTGCTTTGCGATTCATGCGACACGGTCACAGGGGCAAGCTCAGTGAAGTGGGGACATATCACGAATCGAACCCGTCCTAGGAAGAGAGCGTCGCCGGGCAGTTTGAGCAGAGACGTATTGTGAAGCAATCCCCTCCTGACCTTGTGGTGAATGCGAAGCCGTGGCACAGAGAGACCCAAGTGGAGACACGTGGTAAAACCCCCTGGTTGTTGGTCTCATTCAAGTACGGCCCCGAAAACACGAAGAATATAGGGGGCAGTTTGAGATTAAAGTTGGTAATTGGATGTATGGCTTGCCACGGTGCCACGCTTTGGGTGTAGGCCGCAGAGGAGGTAGCCTTTCATTGCCCAAAGCCACAAAAGCGTGAACGCCTTTTCATCTAAATTGCTCAAAGGCGTAGACAAACTACTCATGGAAGGCAAGAAGCTTGGTTCTTATCGGTGAAATCGAAGGAACATCGCCACACCGCGAAACGCAAGAGATGCTTGATTTAAAGCCACTTTGTCTCCACGCTGTAGGGAGAACACAGGTTAAGCAGAGAGATTCAAGTAGGACACGTGTTAAAGTTGCACGATTTCATTGAGGTTTTATGCAAGACACTGACACAGGACAACTCGAGCAAAGAAATCTGTAAAACCAACGCTTCTTGACCTGGCAATATGGAACACAGTTACACAAGAATGCTAGGCAGAGACATAGCTTCCTTTTGCTGATTGAGCCATGCCCCTTCGTGGCTGGTCCTTTCAGCATTTGCTACTGGTCGTCCACCTGTTCCCGCTTGGCCGTCAGTGCTGTTCCTAATGCGTGTTTCCAACTCACTGCTCATCCATATTACCGCTGGGCGTTTTCATGTCGGCTGTACCGTTCACACCTCAGCAAGCAAGACAGCAACGCCTTCTCCAAGACTATCAAACACACAGCTTTCAAGCCTTGTAGAAGCTCCTTGCCGTGTTCAAGAGTTATTGCGGGAAGCACGAGAACTATCATGAGACACCACGCACCTGGGCAAGGCGTCCGCGAACTGAATGTTGGTGCAGCCGCAAAAAATGTAACGCAAAAAATGTAGTATCTTTGACTTTGAGTAACTTCGGGCATTGAATTCCCGTGTGATCGTCTTCAGCAGAAGTGCTAGCAAAGTCACGCTGACTGTCGCAGTGTTAAGGCTCCGCAGCCTTGGTTTGGAGGAACACTAGCTAACAAGAGGCCTGGGACATGTTGCTCCGGCGGCGCCTTCGCAGAGCATCAACATGATTCGCACGGCATTTGAGCTTTGGCAGACCAGGCTTGCTCTGCGGCAAAAGCTGTCCCTTACTTAATCTTTGATGCCAAGCTTTCGCGGAGCTACTCCCCAACGTTCTCATTGCTGGGGGCACTGGGGTGACGCAAATGCAAGATCGGACTCCTCATATCCTAGGACCCTTGGACTGATGGGGCTCGTCTTGAATGTTGGGGGTGACTCAAAATTTGCGTCCGCAGTGATGGGGCTGAGCTCGGGCTGATGGGGTGCATCTTGTACTGATGGGGCGTAGCTTGAATTCAAATGGCCTTTCTTGGAAATCCTGGAACCTCTGGGTGCTGCGGATGGTGTTCGTGCGGCAAACCTAGACAACTGAGCCCAGACACTGGGTCCCTTTGTTGCTTACACTGAACCAAAGTGCCAGCGTTGAACCGCTACAGTCGAGCAAGTTCTGTTCAGGTATTGTTGGTGGCTGACACGCGGCGCCATGCAGACCCTGCCTCTTACAGATGGGTGCGGAGCGAAGTCAAGATTTAACTTTCACTTGGAGCTTGTGTCACTTCGGTGCAGGCCTCCCGTGCAAATGCCAGCCATGCAGCACCGACGCCCAGTTGGCTCGCATTGAGCTAGCTCGCCAGCTTCTCCGTAGACAGGAGACATTACTTCTTCGCCTCATAGCCTTTGTGGTCTACAGAGCTTTATTCTTTTGGGCGTAGGCTAGGGTGTAGGTCACCTTGCATGCGTCGGTGCAAGGTCTTGCGACTTACAACGCTGAGTCAGTTGGCAGGCCATGGCGCCTTGGCCCGAGTTTCTTGTTTCAGCTTGGCAGTCCTTCTGCATGGGAGATGGCGCAACCTGCTCCGAGCGGGAGTCTTCCAAAGAAGTTTTCTTTCATGCTACTGAATTGCCTTCATACGGCTTGTGTGCTGTTCCTAGGTGGAGATTGGAGTTTCCACTTTGAGAGAGAGTGAGTGACTGCAACTGAAATGTCATACTGTGGCCAAACATGGACAAACTAAACGATTTCGCCCGTGCGGAATCTGGCTGAGTCACAATGTCAAGCCCCGTGACGCTGAGCCCGCAGCGAGAAGCAATCGAGGCAGTACAATAAACCTGCGGCTGCTTCCTCCTTGGATTCGCTGAGAAACAACAGGAGCGGGTCTCTGGTGGTTCTTGGAACCTTATGATATGAGCCTCAAGGCACTATAAACAACTAACTAAGCATCCCACTCCAGGGGTTCCACATTGCCCCTGGAATGACTCTTGGAACAGGGATGGTCAGTGTCCTGACAACTAGAAGCTGAAGTCGAATCAAGCCCGCACTTGCCAGGTCAACGCTTTGAAAGACAACTGGCAAGCAGCCCTGCTATGGTTCTTTGTTCTCAGTCATACTCAGCTGTAGGTTGGACTGCTTGACTGCCGTCTCCCTTGCTTCGTTTACCTCGCTGCTACTGCACTTGTTGAAGCCCTGGTCGTTGTGGAGCTTTGTTTTGAAAGCTGTTTGTCTTGCAGCTATGTGCTGCCAAAATTTGCAGGCCCATGATGTCGAAACTCACGTGCCATTGTCGGCGGGATCCTCATTTGCTCCGTTTGATTTGTCATTCATGCACTCACTTGCATAGGACATGCCGTCAGGTCCGAGCTGTTTTGGGCAATCAGGTTGTGCAGCCATTGTTGGAGGTTAGGCGGTTTTTTTTCGGACGATGCTGTCGTGACTGCATTTTTGCTGAGCAGGGCGAAGAGTTTGAGCAGACGCTGCGTGGCAATTGCTCGCAGGCCGAAAGTTTGTTGGCAGAGTTTGGGTGTCATGTTGGCACTGCCGCCTTAGGTCTTTGCGTATACTGTGAGACGGAACACCACTGCCGTCCTTTTCTCTGTGTCCTGGCTTCATTAAAAAATGAGACTTCTGCCAAGTATGTCATACAGAAATCCAGGTGACTAAGCTGTCTGGGTTGGCAAGCCTTGTTGTTTCTTCGAGGCTGGATCTTTGCTGGCGCTTTGTAGCACTCAGTAACGCTGTGCGTTGCATGGTGCAGTCCTGAATTTCTGGACGACATGACAACGGGTCCGCCTGGCACCAAGATTTATCGCACAAAGAGACCTCAAAAAGCCCAACGCCTCATAAACCCTCGAGGGCTGAAGCTGTCATCCTTTTGGAGCCTGGTGCAAAAGTCTTCAGGGCAGCCCGCTTCTGAAGCAATCTGCGATTTGCGATTTGCGATTTGCGAGGGTCTTGGTAGCCCTTGTGTGCTCGCATCGCTATCAGGTCCAGCACAACCAGCCGCCAGCCCATCTCTCACTTCAGAACAGACAAAACTAATTCTGACTTTCCTTCTGACAGAGGGGTTGATGTGGGCCGAGATGCACTGCGAGACGCTTTGTTCGAGAACAGTTTTCTGATATTCCCCCAACCGCTTGCGGCATGTGCCTGTTGGTACTAGGTAATATCTAGTCATGCACGGCAGGAGGAGAGATGGCTTGCAGAGTGTGGGAGTCGGGGGACTCTCATCATTATTGCTTGGACATGCGCAAGGACTCAGGGATGTAAGTCCTTCGGATTGGTTGCATCATCCAAAATTCTGCTGCGGAGAGCTTTCTGTGCTTTAACTTTAGTGGCCTTGCCACTCGCATCGCTCGCTCACTTTTTCAGTCATTCGTCTCTGCTTCTCTGCACTGCAACTCGGCATACTGCATGCTGCAGCTTCGGCAACCTAAGGTTCTGTATGCCCGCGTGCAGAATGCAGAGACGGCCTCCAGCCGCTTCAGCATCTCCGCACGATCACAGGCCATGCGTCCCCGATCTTTGAAGGCAGTCGGTTGCCCAGAGAAACAGGCCCATGCCAAATGGCTGCTGAACGGCGCAAGCACGCAAGGTGCGGTAAAGGCAGGCTTGCAATATTTGTGCTTGATGCTGCATGCCTCCCTGCCTGAACAGCTTTCCGAGGTTGGCCGTTACGACAGATACCGCTTCTACGCCTGGGCCTCACGGGTACGGGTACACATGGTGGTCCAAATTCATCTCCATGTGCGAACCACAAGGTTTCTGAGGGCGAGACCACACCTGACCTGCAAGCCGTCCTCGAGGTTTCTTGCATGGAGCACAGAGATTTTACCGAATGCGCAGCAGAGGGGTTCTCGTTTTGAGGTTGGGGGTCTGGGGGTTGGGAGTTGACGCGAAATCCGTGCGGAGCGTTCGCAAGCGTTCGCCGTGTGTCCGCAAGCGTCTTCGGCCGAAAATCGTTCCGAAACGCAGAGCTGTCGTCACTTTTGGACTCGCGTTGCGTCTTCGCATCTCAAAAGTGTCAACAGCGACAGGGATTGGGGGGGTCGTGGTCGCGAAACACAGGACTGTCGTCACTTTTGGACGTGGTCGCGAGCCGCAGAAGTGAGGAGAGAGGAGATAAGAGAGAGGAGAGAGGAGCAAAGAG